ATGGAGGTGTAGGGTCCCAAACATTTGAAAAATAAGTTCCAAAGGTGACGAAGACCTATGGGAAGAACTAGTATATGGTAACTGATAACTTTTTTGCTGACTGACATGCATTACAAATTGACAAAGATAACTCAATAGCACACGGAATATTATTGAGATGCAAAATTGATTTTACTACTTGAGATGAAGGATGTCCAAGACGTGCATGCCATTGGGCACGAGTAGTAGATCTGCTCACCAAGGCGTGCTTGAGATCATCAACATCAGATGGCTTAATAGAATAAAGACCAGATTCACACCTCCCATCTAGGAGACTTTTCCTCGACCGTCGATCCTTAATAGAAAAATGCCAAGGATGGAATTCAAAAGATACGTCATTATCACGAAAAAATATATGAACGGAAAGAAGATGTTTGGAAATTTCAGGCACATGCAAAATATTACACAATGCAAGAGGACGAGTAACAATATTAATTAGAGAATGACCAGGTATGAAAACATGCAAACTTGCTCCATTGCCGACTTTAACTTGTTCACCTCCATGACAGCATTCACGCACAGCGAGATGATCCAGGTCACTGGTGATATGATCTGTAGTGCCTGTGTCGCCGTGCCAATTTGGGTCAATCTTGTAAGAGGAAGTAGCCACCAGTGTCGTAGGAGGAGAAGAAGAAGGTTCATCTTGATAGAACTCATCCATCCTATGCCAGCAGCGGATAGCAGTATGCCCCACTTTGCCGTAGATCTGGCAGAAAGGACGAGCAGAAGGGCCACGACGATCACCAGCAGGACGAAAGGGTGCATAACCTTGAGAACGACCACGACCACGATCCCTATGCCCACGATTCTTCTGCTGACCACCACGAAGAACATAATTGGCAGAAGATCCAAGATTTAACTGAAGATCAGCACGACCAGTATAATTGGTAGAAGATCCTAGATTTAACTGAAGTTCAGCCTGGTGTTGTAGTTGGAGAGCTTCAAACGTCATTAGATGTGCAAACACATCATCAAGCGTGAGGGCTTCACTCTTGGTAGTCATTGAGGTACCGAAGGGATCATAGTCAGGGCCAAGACCAGTGAGAAGATACGCGATCACATCATCATCCTGCAAGGCAAAGCTGGCGGCAGCCAGCTCGAGGGCCAGCCCTTTAATCTTGCAAAAATAATTTGCAGCAGATTGATCTCGTTTCTTGGACGTGGTGAGCTCAACACAAATCTGAGTAGTGCGAGCACGAGTTGACGACAAAAACATTCGCTGCAGGGTATCCCACACCTCCTTGGACGTAGTAACGACAATTACATCGTGAAGAATCTCCTCAGACATAGAGGAGAGAAGGCCGCTAAGGACCTGTTGATCCTGATCATACCACTGATTATAGGCCGGATTATAGACCAGCTCAGCACCAGCAGCAGTTGAGGAAGGGACCAGCTTGGCAGGTGCGACATTAGTGCCATCGAGGTAGCCCATAAGCTTCATACTTCGTAGGTAGGGGAGGAGTTGGGCGCGCCATATGATGAAGTTGTTTTTTTTAGACAAATTGTGACCGCATGGTGTAGAGGGATTGAGACGGTGTTGGAGATGGTGGATGGAGAGGAGGAAGAAGAAATGGTAGACATTTAAAAAATAAACCTTGGCTTTGATACCATGTTAAGTTGAATGGCATAATGACCTCACATAGGGTCACGACCTCATGTATTTATAGATGTGTATAATAAAGATTACATTCTAAATCATAGATTTAGTAACAAACCATGAAATCATAGATTTGGTGACAAAACTATGAAATCATAGATTTGGTAATAAACCAGTAAATCATAGATTTGGTAACAAACTAGTAAACCACTAGATTATCTTACTATATACAGATATGATCTATTCTACGTTTAACGTGAAGAATCTCCGTTAGGAGTTAAGATTTGTTTTGATTAGATTTTGTTTAGATTTGATTTGTTTACTGGTTTGTTAACATATTTTCTCCAAATTTTTAGGTAGATTTTCTAAATATCTTTTTGTATTCTCTATATATATAGAGCATTCTTGCTCTTCATAATTTAATCATCTTATCAATCATTCAATCCCTCATTCTTTCAACTAACAATTGGTATCAGAGCTATCTTCTTAAGGGATCAAAATGGGAGGAGAATCCAATTTTTCAAATGTGGGCAGTTCGTATAGAGACTTATTTGGAGGCTTTGAATCTTTGGGAAGCAATAGAAGAGGATTACGAGGTCCCTCCTACAGAAGGAAAAGAAGACAAGAAAATCAAAGGCAAAAGCTTGCTTATTTGCCGCTGTATCTGAAATGATCTTCATGCGAATAATGTCCCTCAAAATAGCAAAAGAAATCTGGGATTATCTTAAAGCTGAATATGAAAGGATTCATGGAATGAAAGTCCTGAATTTGATTAGGGATTTCGAGTTGCAGAAGATGGAGTCAGAGTCGGTGAAAGAGTACTCTGAAAGACTTCTCAACATCGCCAACAAGGTGAGATTGCTTGGGTATTAATTGATTCTAAGATCGTTGAAAATCTGCTAGTCATTGTTCTAGAGAAGTTTGAAGCCACCATTACTACTCTAAAGAACACAAAAGATGTTCCAGAGAAGTTTGAAGCCACCATTACTACTCTGGAAAACACAAAAGATTTATCAAAGATTTCTCTTACAGAACTCTTGAATGCTTTACAACCACAAGAGCAAAGAAGGTCTATGAGGCAAGAAGGGGTGATTGAAGAAGACAAAAGAAGGAGGTTTCAAAAAATCCTATCCACCTTGTCGCCATTGTGAGAAGAAAGGTCATCCACCATACAAGTGTTGTAGAAGACCTGACGCCTTTTGCTCTAAATGCAATCAACTTGGACATGAAGCAATGATTTGCAAAGCCAAAGATCAGGTGAAAGAAGTAGATGCACAAGTAGTTGATCAAGAAGAAGAAGAAGATCAATTTTTTATGGTCACTTCTTCCTCAGGCAAAGAATCAAGCGAGAGCTAGTTGATTGACAGTGGGTGCACAAATCACATGACATATGACAAGGAATCTTTTGAGGAATTAAGACACACCAAAGATAAGAGAAAGAGGATTGGCAATGGTGAACACTTGGAAGTCAAGGGAAAAGCCACAATAGCTATAACAAGTTATGAAGGTACAAAATTTATTCCAGATGTTTTATTTGTACCTAAAATTAATCAAAATCTCTTAAGCGTTGGTCAGCTACTTGATAAAGGCTATAAAGTGTTGTTTGAGAATAAGAAGTGCTTGATCAAAGATGCTAGTGTCAAAGACTTGTTCAATGTCAAAATGAAAGGAAAAAGCTTTGCTCTAAATTCAACGGCCTTTCTATCCAAAGTTAGTGCCACTAAGATTTGGCACAAAAGACTTAGAACCTTTCATCATCGAGGGTTGCTTCAGATTCAGTCAAAGAAGCTGGTAGAAGGACTCGCTGACATTGATGATGACATGCCTCCTTGCCATGCTTGTAATTTTGGGAAGCAACATAGGCAACCCTTTCCTAAACAGGCATGAATAGTCTCGAAAAAACTGCACCTGGTTCATACTGAGCTTTGTGGTCCTCAGCAAACACCATCATTAAATGAAGTTGCAGGTGTATTTTGGAAATTCAAAGCCAAAGTTGAGAATGAAGGTGCATGCTTGATTCAGACTATGAGATCAGATAATAGCAAGGAGTACACTTCAGAAAATTTTAACAGGTTTTGTGAAGAGGCTGGAATTGAACATCAGATAATAGCAAGGAGTACACTTCAGTAACTTTTAATAGGTTTTGTGAAGAGGCTGAAATTGAACATGAATTGACAGCACCATACACTTCTCAATAGAATGACATCAGTGAAAGGAGGAATATATTCATAATGAAGATGACGAGATGCATGCTTCATGAGAAGGATCCTCTGCGTCGCTGCCATGCGAATCGACGTTGGTTGTTCCGCCAATGATTGAGGCCTCGGCTCCTCCGCCAACAGATGATATTGCACAATGTCCGGTCGAATCCTCGACCGATGGTCAACCAACTGCTGTAGCATCGGTTGCTCCCCTCACAACGGCTGATACGGCTGTCCCCTCAAATGTGGATCCTACACCTACTACTCATTCGTATGGTACTCGATCGAAGCACAATATCAAGAATCCCAAGGTGCGTACAGATAGAACAATAACATATTTTGTAGTTCGGTCTTCTGCCGCTGAACATACTTAACATATTACTGCTATGGAGCATCCCCTCTGACGTCAGACAATGAATGATGAATTTCAGGCACTTCAAAAAAATAAGACATGGCACTTAGTTCCTCCTCGTGCCGGTCTTAACGTTATTGATTGCAAATGGGTTTTCAAACTCAAGCAAAAGCAAGATGGCTCTATTGATCGCTACAAAGTACGCCTGGTTGCTAAAGGTTTTAAACAGCAGTATGACGTTGATTATGATGATACCTTTAGTCCAGTTGTTATGCCCACTACCATTCGGCTCTTATTGTCTCTTGCTATTTCTCGTTGTTGAGCTATTTGGCAGATTGATATTCAAAATGCTTTTCTTCAGGGCTTTCTTAATAAAGATGTTTATATGAAGCAGCCCCTGAATTCTTGGATTCTCAACACCCTGGTTATCTCTGCAAGCTGGATAAGTCGCTTTATGGCCTTAAACAAGCTCCGCGTGCCTGGTTTTCTTGCCTTAGCTCCAAACTATTACAGCTGGATTTTACACCTTCAAAGGCTGATGTTTCTCTTTTCATTTTTAACAAGACGGGCATTCAGATGTATATCCTCATCTATGTTGATGACATTAATATTATCAGCTCATCTTCTACGACTACTGAGAAACTTCTTACACAGCTTCAGGATGATTTTGCCGTCAAGGATCTTGGCATTTTGAGTTATTTTCTTGGGATTGAGGTCCGCCATACTTCCAATGAACTTATTCTGACACAACATAAATACATTCAAGATTTATTGTCTAGAACCAATATGCTCACCTCTAAAGGTGCGCCCACACCTATGCTTCCTAGTGAGAAGTTGTTATTGGATGGTGGTGAAAAGCTTTCGCCTGAGGATACTACTCGCTATCGAAGTGTCATTGGTGCTCTCCAATATTTGTCTCTGACACGTCCTGATATATCATTCTGTGTCAATAGAGTGTGTTAGTTCATGTCCTCCCCAACATCTATACATTGGGCGGCAGTCAAACGAATTCTTCGTTATCTACATGACACTATTGATATGGGTTTGTGTCTTACAAAGTCCAGCCCTGATTTGTTGTGTCACTTTTCGGATTCTGATTGGGTAGGGAATCCTGATGATCGTCGAAGCACTAGAGGCTATGTGATCTTTTTTGGTGGCTTATCTCTTGGAGTTCGAGGAAACAATCAACAATTTCTTGTTCTAGTACGGAGGCCGAATATAAGGTGGTTGTTGATGCCACTGCCGAATTAATTTGGATCCAAGTTCTCTTGCGTGAGCTCGGGATCTCACAAGCGCGAGCGCCTAGCATGTGGTGTGACAACATTATTGCCACCTACCTGTCCGCCAATCCAATCTTTCATCGACGGACGAAGCATGTTGAGGCTGATTATCACTTCGTTCGTAAACGAGTATCGACTCGTCAGCTTGATGTTTGACTAATTTCTTCCAATAATCAGCTCGCCGATATCATGAAAAAGCCATTGCCAGACATGGAGTTAACAATGACCATACATGCGAGTATGGGCTCACCAGTCAGTTCGCACACCGTTGGGCCACTTTCCTTGTCTAGCGAGCATACTCTGGGAGCTCCTTAGGTCGGACACCCATTAGAACTAGTCACCGTCACGGCAGCGCTATGCAAACATAATGATCGTTGTCCTGTCATTGGATGTACATGTTCGTACTCTCGTGATGGAATAGGGGTATCCCTCAAATGCATGAGCACACATAATGCATGAGGTCTTCAATATTTCTACTTTTATCATTAAAGAATATAACCATGCTATCATTTTTCATGCTTAACATGTCATTTCTCATTTTGAGTCTACCTATCATACATAATCCTAACGGGGTTACATTTCTTTTCATTTGTCGTGATATCATGTCATTCATAACATGCTGTATACATACAATTTAGAAAACATAACATAACGTTTCATGCTTTTAACTGTTAGGTTATGGAGCCTCCTGCTTATTTATAGCAGAGTCAATGGTTATACATAGTAAAACTATATTTGGTAAATGACATATAAAGTAAATTGTCATAAATAGTAAATAGCTATGTATAGTAAAAAGCTATATCGGGTAAAGCTATATATGGTAAATAGTTATATATAGTGGATGGTTATAGCTGGTAAAGCTAAATATAGTAAGCTAAACCATATATATATACCTCGGGCAGTGCTTTGAAAATGTACTTTCTATATTCTCTGTATTCTCTCTTACTGTACATACTTGTAGTCATCAATATAAATTATTTAGCCAGAGTTCTCCTTGCATTTTCTCTATCTTGTTCTTTGTGTTCATCTAGATCGAGTGTGTGCATTGTTGTGCGATCCCAACAACTGGTATCAGAGTTAGGCGGAAGTCACTACGATCTGTGAAGATGGAAAGTTCAAAGATTGGAATTGAGAAGTTTGATGGATCCGATTTTGGTTTCTGAAAAATGCAAATTGAAGATTATCTATATCATAAAGGTTTTCACAAATCCTTGTTGGGGGTGATGTCGGATACCATGACCACGGAGCAGTGGAAGCTCAAGGATCGATAAGCCTTAGCGCTGATTCGGTTGACGCTATCCAGAAACGTGGCATTCAATATCATCAAGGAGAAGACAACGTCAGATCTGTTGAAGGCGTTGTCGAATATGTATGAAAAACTGTCGGCTATGAACAAGGTGTATTTGATGCGGAGATTGTTCAATCTACAGATGTCTGAAGGTGGATCTGTTGTTGATCATATAAATGAATTCAATATGATCGTAAGTCAACTGAGTTCGGTGGAAATTAATTTCGAGAATGAAATTAAAGCATTGATTTTGATGTCATCTTTACCCGAGTCGTGGGATACTGTTGTTGCCGCAATCAGCAGTTCGCGAGGATCTGATAAATTGAAGTTTGATGAAATTCGAGATGTAGTTCTCAGCGAAAGTATTCGCAAACGAGAAATTTGAAATTCATCTAGTAGTGCTCTCAGTGTTGACCAACGGAGAAGAAGTAAACTGAAGGGCCCAAACAAAGGGCGATCAAAATCAAAGAACCGAGAAAAATCTTCAAATAGACCAAACGTAACGTGTTGGAATTGTGGAGAAAAATATCACTTTCGGACAGGTTGTACAAGACCAAAGAGGAACCAGATGTGGAGTATGGTTCCAAGACAACGAAGCAAGTGGGAGTTGAGCTTGAGTTGCAGGAAAACTCACTTAGTGATGCTGTAGCATTTACTCATGAAACTCCTGAGACTACTATTGAGGAACCAGATGTGGAGCAAGGTTCCAAGACCACGAAGCAAGTGGGAGTTGAGCTTGAGTTGTAGGAAAACTCAATTAGTGATATTGTAGTAGATACTCATGAAACTCCTGAGACTATTGTTGAGGAACCAAATGTGGAGCAAGGTTCCAAGACAACAAAGCAAGTGGGAGTTGAAGTTGAGTTGCGGAGAAAATCACCTAGTGATCTTGTAGCAGATACTCAACAAACTCCTGAGGTTATTGCAGAGGAACCAACAGTAGAGCAAGTGACACCTGAACTGGTGTTGAGAAAATCATCCTGTACTATCAAAGTACCATATATGTATGTACCTTCATTACACTATTTGTCGTTGATGAAAGGGAACCAGAGCACTTTGATGAGGCCCTACAGTTGGAGGATACAACCAAGTAGGAGCTAGCCATGGATGATGGGACATTTAGGCTTCAAAAATGCATTGTACTAAAGCTGAGTATGTGGCAATAGTTGAAGTTGGAAAGAAGATAATATGGGTGACTGACTATTTGGAAGAATTGGGTAAGAAGCCGCACAAAGAGATTTTTTTATAGAGATAGTCAGAGTGTCATACAGTTGGTGAGAAACCCGGTCTATCATTTAAAGATAAAACACAGAAGACAATACCATTTCACTTGCAGGTTAGTGGAAGATGGTGATGTGTTTTGAGAAGATAGAGGGTGCAAAGAATCCAACAAACATGTTGACAAAATGTGTTGATGTTGGAATATTGAGGTTGTGCAAAACCTCAATTGATATGGTGCAGTGAAAATATTCATGATCGTTTGAGAATGAAATTCTTGGTTGACTGGATCAGTCTCCAAGTGGGAGAATTGTTAGGTTATGGAGCCGGCTGCTTATTTATAGCTGAGTCTATGGTTATACATTGTAAAACTATATTTGGTAAATGACATGTAAAGTAAATTGTCATAAATAGTAAATAGCTATGTATAGTAAAAAGCTATATCGAGTAAATCTATATTTGGTAAATAGTTATATATAGTAGATAGTTATATCTGGTAAAGCTAAATATAGTAAGCTAAACCATATATATATATATATCCCTCGGGCAGAGCTTTTAAAATATACTTTCTATATTCTCTGTATTCTCTCTCACTATACATATTTGTAGTCATCAATATAAATTCTTTAGCCAGAGTTCTCGCATTTTCTCTATCTTGTTCTTTGTGTTCATCTAGATCGCGTTTGTGCGTTATTGTGCGATCCCAACATTAACATGTCATTTCATAACGTGCAATTCATACAACAATTACCTCAATGGTCACACAAAACAATCAATACATGACACATCACATCACAATATATCGTATCATAAACATTAAATATCGTAAACACTTCGTGGTCATATCGTTCCCTAACTTATCATAACCTAACGTTCTTATTTCTATCACAGCCATATCGTTACGTAAACGTACCTTAGTCATATCATTACAGGAACGTATCCTAACGCTATCATTCTATCAATCTATCACAAACCTTTCTCTTTCTACCCATAACCTAACCGTATTCTTTCATCAATCTCTCCTATTCATAGTACTCTGGTATGTAACCTAACCTTAACGTTTCATGAACGTACCTTACTCCTATCGTTACATTTCGTTTTGTGCATCCTTCTTGTATCCTATCTCGAACCTATCCTTGAACACATCGTACCATAATTATTATCATACAATTCACATATTATAACATAACATAAACATAATATAAGCATATCGATTAATAGATATTCACACATATCAGTATATATGACACGTGCAGAACCACAGGCACGTGTCAACATCAAATATAATCATGTCGTTAGTAAGGCCACTTACCTGGCTAGTTTAAGTCGTCACGAATATATTTTTAATGAAAGTTTGATTCCATCCTTTGAAATCCGAGTCAACCTATGTGAGCCCATGATATCAGTTTCAAGTTTGAATCCTACAAAATTATTTCTCTAATTTACATTGGTCATGGTTAAAAGTCTTGAAATGTTATATATTTGTAATTATATTTTTATTAAAAATCTTATGGACAGTTGTATAAAAAAGTAGATACAACTATTCTCTGTATTTACCCTCTGTATTTACATTTCTCTCCATATTTAGTTGGTGGTTTTTAATTCCTTAATCTTCTATTTGTATTGGTTGCATTTTAATTATGTTCTTATGTATTCCAAATTTTGAGTGGATCTCTGTTTCCAAATCTTTCCTTATCTCAGTGTTTTCTATTCACAAATTTTCATGGCTATTCTATTTTTATTCTATTCATTTGGCTACTTATATAAATTTAATCTAATATTACTTATCTGGTTGCTAGAATTCGTATAAATGATTGATATTTCTGTAATTAGTTTTCTCTCCATATTTAGTGGGTGGTTTTTAATTCCTTAATCTTCTTTTTGTATTGGTTGCATTTTAATTATGTTCTCATGTATTCCAAATTACGAGTGGATCTCTGTCTCCAAATCTTTTCTTATCTCATGTTTCCTATTCACAAATTTTCACGGCTATTCTATTTTTAATCTATTCATTTGGGTATTGATATAAATTTAATCTAATATTACTAATCTGGCGTGATTTGCTAGAATCGTATAAATAATTGACATTTAGTTTCTAACTCAAAGCTAAACCATTGTAATAATTCAACTAAGATCTAATTATAATTGGCTGTAA